GAATTATATATATAAATTTATATTAAATATTTAGATTCACAGAAACATATATACATACTCACAGACAACCCCCTGAAGATGGTCCCTGATGAAATTACTTGGAAAATAAAAGATATTCAAATGAAAATTCTGGTAGTTTTCTTACTTAATTTTCTAAGTCTACCCAAAAATTAATCCATGAACTTGAAAGGATCACAACGAAAACCAATCGACATGATATGTCTAAATTATTTAACAAACCTGTTTGAATTCATATATATAAATATATATATATATATATATATATATATATATATATATACCCTGACTTGACATCTATGAAAGTAACTCTATACTAATACTTATTATTAACACCCAACACACGCCTACCCAATTTAAACAATTCGCCCTAGCTGTTACCATGGAAATTTTGATTTCAATTATTAAAACACGTAAATTTCTGAAATAAATTATTCAAAAAAAAAAATTTGCTTGAATATGGAACAGAGCTTTCTTTAACTCAATTTAATTCAAATAATTTTATTGAAGTTTTCGGCTCTTGTTTTGAAACATGAGACCTCTTATGTCGCAAGTTGGAATCATATTTTTAATAATTATATTTATGCTCTACATTTGTATCGAGCACTATTTTTAAAAAATAATAACTAAAATACTAAAGAACTTTGGATCTACCTAACCAGTTCTTTCCTATTTTCTATATATTTTCACAAAAATATATATATATATATATATATATATATATATATATATATATATATGAATTAAATAAAATATGAGCAACTATATATGTGTGTGATTACATTCATATACAGATTTGCAAATAAATGTTTATTTAATTTATGGTGTAATCAAAACAGTGCTCAATGTAGTGTAACAAGCTATAAAGTATATATTAATAACTATACATATTACCTATGTCAGTTGTACGACTCAGAGTTTCATGTCTTTACAATCATCAGGTACTAATAGCTATGAGCTTTTCAATATAGTTGTTTTAAAAAATGTTGTATCTCATGGTAGAAATGCCTTATTGTATATTGATTTATATATATATATATATATATATATATATATATATATATATAATGTACTGTATATGCCTGAGTATAAGGCAACCTTTAGATAAGATGAGGTCAAAAAGTATAACAAATTTTCATGAATTTATCATATACCTGTAGTAGAAGATAACTGCTTATTGATTATATAAAGATAATGATATTGGAAATGTTATTACTGTATCCTTGGAAATTCAAAATAACAAAACCAATTCTATATCATGTTTTTTCTACTCAAATCCCCTAAAAGGGAAACCATTGTTTTGTTTACATTTCATCATATGGTCTATTGCTAATACTGATTCTTCTTCCTCTTCTTTTCCTATACCTAAACAGTTACAAACAGCCTGGTGTACTAATGCCCATTTACTTATACATCATTAACAATCACAAAATACCACTAATAACAATACGATAATAGTACTGCTGTAAATGCAATCATAACTCAATGTTTACATTTTCTTAACTGAGCTTTGCATGGATACAAGTTGATTTCAATGATATTGAATTATTCTTCAAATAGGCAATTTATTATAAAATTATGCCAGTAATACATAAGGTAGAAATAGTCTTATTACTTTTATTATCAGTTTATTTGATAATGCAAATATTTTCATCATTATTGATTATTGCACCGAGGACAAGGTTAGCTACAAACAAACATCACTTAGAATTTAAAGTTTCTTTTTTAGAATTGTAGTATAAAACAACCACCAATTTTTAAGTGTGATTTTTGGGACCCAAGGGTTGTCTTATATACAGAAACATATGGTGTGTGTGTGTATATCCTTTCAGCCAACACTTTGCCAGAAGAAAAACATTGGCATGATGTTAGAAGTCACATTTTTCTTTTCTTTTATTCACTGCGTGAATTTTTCTTTTCTTTGTTCTCATCAAAAGTCACATGGACATTTTCCTTCTGACAAAATGTTGGCTGAAAGGATTCCTTAAGGTAAAAATGCCTTTGTGTATTTTCAAAACTGTATTTATATTCTGTGGCATCAAGTCCTTGTTCAAATATGTGCGTGTGTGTGTGTATATATATATATATATATATATATTTTAATTACCACCCAATATAAGACAGACATGAAGACAAGAGATTATTATCTCTATCAGTTGCATATATGTTGACTATGCACTTTGAAATACTGAACCATTTTATACTATATATAAAATCACACTTATATTTGATAAATAATAATACTAAAAAAATATCAGGAAAAAAAAATGAAGATCACTGATGCTATTTTTATTTTGATTTTTAAATCACAACTGAACATATATGAATCCTGCTTTTGAATAATGTTTATTTCAACAACCATTATTCACTTAAGCAGGTTTTATTGAAAGCCACAGACAATATTATTTGTTATTTTTTCATTTTCATGCAGATAACAAATATTTGATTCCAATATGCATCAAATTGGTCATTTATGCTTTTGCTCATAGTCATTTTCAATAAAACAAATTGAAATGTGTTTTTGAATTTCTAGAAAAAAAAAACTTGTCTGAAATGTTTAATAAAAATTACTTAAAATCCTTCTTTTTTCTTAAAGAAAAAATTTTACCCACACAAATATTTGCAATATACTGCATTTAATCTACTCATATATCATGCGACTATTGAAGATCTAATTTTGAAGCAAATTTTAAGAGGGTTGCATCATACATGAGATATAAAATTAGCATATGTACTGCTGCTGGTTACATCATTGACCAAACTATATATCCATTTAGTCAAATTAGCTTCAAAATTAGGTCTTCAAATGTCACATGATACATGAGTATATACAGTAAATGTTTAATACAATTTTTTTACAGTATTAATAACTTTTTACATTCAATTCTTAACATATATGAAATAAAAGATAAAATACATTTTTTTAGTGTTGATTAACATAATTTTATCTTAAGTATCTGCAATTAAAAATTGAGATCAGAAATAAATTCAAGTATCAATAGGTTTGATCTGTAAATGTTAGGGTGTGTATTCAAAAAAAAAAATTAAAAAACTACTGACCTTATATATACACACACACACATATATATATATATATATATATATATATATATATATATATAAGCATTATGTGCATAATCCATAATCAAAATTGTTACCAATGTAATTTAGTAAAGTTTAACCACCAAGCATTCACTAAAATAAGTACGTTTTATAATACTTATGAATAAACCTAAATCAAAAACTTTTATAGATGTGCTCTTACATTGTAATAGATAGATATTTTGTTTGTTTCACACAGTCAATAAAAATCTTTTTGTAGTCTGCCTTTACAATTGTATTTCTGTTTTATAAATAGATTTTAAAAAAATAGAAAAAAATTAATTTGATTTAATGTGAGTTCTGCAATTTTTAATGTCATCAACTGACAATTATGTGAAAACTAAAAAAAAAAATCATTAAAAAAAAAAGGATTCTTTCTGCCAAAGATATTTTTATAAATATGTGATAAAGTACATTAAAAAAATAAATATATCTGGACAGGCATTAGCTCTTTTTGAGTGAAAAGTGGAATTTTACTAATATACAGAAATATATAAATTTTAAGTTTATTCAAATTTTTCCTTTTATTTCTGTGTATGCTAAGTAGGAAAACTTTTGCTTGTATCTTTAAGTGCAAATTTTTCTTTTAGATTTAGAATATATACATAATTTAGAGCAATTACAATTACTGATAAAAAAAATATTAATTTATTTTTAAGACTTCATTGTCATCATTAGACAAATCAAAACATTCCTTATCATTTTGTAATATTTTTACCGGCCTTTTAAAGATGGTATTCAGTATATTTTAGACTAAGATATATAAAAGCAGAATTAATATTTAATTCCATTTAAATGTCTTCATTTCAAAAGAAAAAAATGTTAATCAGTGGTACAAAGATTTAAAAAGAACAATCACAATACTATAAACATTCAATTCTGCCATACCTCATTTGCATTTTTTTACAGTTTCAAAAATATATATACAGTGAAGAAGCATTAAAAAAAAAAAAAAAAGCAAAAAATAATGAAGCAAAAAAAAATTAGATAAAAGGGAATACTTTTTTAACACATCAGATTTCATGTGTCCACAAATGTCTATGAGAGAACATTTATATAGCAACATATGATAAAAGCAGCTGATATCTTCATATTCTTATAAGTAGATAAAACTTTATATCTAAGAATACAGTAATGTATCCTAAATAATAATACTTTATCTTATATATGACATGATTCTAAAAATATCTAATTTCAAATTCAGAAAATATTAGAAAAGAAAATTATCATCATCACATCATCATTATTTAGGACATTTAATAGTTTTACTGGGGATGTGCTGGTTGCGTAATTTAAAAAGTAATTGGCAAACTGTTCAAATTTTAGTCAAGGCTGCTGTGTTTACTTATGCCCTTGGGAAAGGCACATATTCATTTTATCCCCTCCCCAGATAATAATAGGGGAGAATGGACTCTCCAGCATTGGTAGGGCAACCAGTCTAGGAAAAAGATAACTGAATTCAAAACTGAAGAAACCACTTCACTACCTTTCCCAAAAATTATCATGACCCTTCACAGATATTAAAATAAAATGGTAGCTGTGGCGAATCATGATTAACAACATCCCAAAGGGAGATGGCATTTAAAAAAAAAAAAAAATAGTTTTATTCAGGTTTATTCTAAAACAGAAAACAAAAGAAGCATAACAAAATTTTAAAATAAAATAAAATTTAAGAAGCAAAAGGCTTCTTCTTTCCAATATCGAAGGCTAACAAATAATTAAACCTTACAATGTTGAAATACACATTTGCATTAGTGTACCCAACAAAATTCACATGTGTGTGCGCATATGCACATATTCATTAAAAAAAGTTGCAAGTGAAAGGTAACTTCCCTACAATCTTCACATTTTGACAAAAAGTAGCCATTACTGAATGACACAGGCTCTTTCTTCTTTCAGGAGATATCCTTGGGTAATTTTTTGGTCTAATTCTTCATCCTCAGCAATACTGAAAAAGAAAATAAGTTTTAGTTTCATATTTGAAATACATAAGCAAAAATATTAAAAAATAATTATTTACAATTGTAAAAAAAAGAGAAGTCAAAAATACTGAAAATTAAAAATTTTATACTAAATGATAAAATTTTTATATTTTTTTTAAAATTTAACAAATATATTAATTTAAATACATATTCCAATGGGTAGTAAAAATTGAACCAATAAAAAAATACATAAACTGACAAACAGAATATTTTAAAATATAAACAAAAAAATTTGATGGTTAGACAGAGAAATTCAAGATTAAAATATAAATTCTTTTTGGTGATATATACATTTATTCAAAAGTATATAAAGAGTAATATATATATATATATATATATATATATATATATATATATATATATATATATAAAATCTCAAAAAGAAAAAATACTATTACTAATATAGTTGGAATGTAAGAATCAAAAATCTTTGAAATAAAAACCCAAAGCTTTTATTTCTGAAGAGGAAAAATTCAAAATTTAAAAATCTAAAAGTAAAACTAGTTTCAACCAGCAAACAAGTTAGTTTGACTTAACGGTTTAGAGTCAGTCTATACTAATATAACAGCCTATATATATCAATAACTTAATGCAAAGTTATAACTAAAAATAATCTAAGTGATGATCATCAGCATACTTTTTTGAGCTATGTCCCTTCAGGACATTGGCTGTCATGTCTCTCCACAACTTCCTCTCCTTTATAGCTCTTAATAAATTTTGTCTTTTTGTTCTCCTAAACGTTCCACCATCTATTTACTCAAACTCACTCTTCTTCTTGCATGTGCTGTGTCCCTTCAAGACATATATAAATATGGCTGTCCACAATGCCCAGTCCTTTGTAGCTCTTAATAAATTTTGTCTTTTTGTTATCTCTACTAAAACTTGATCTGCCATTCATTTACTAAAGTTTATTAGGTAGGTTATGTGACTAATTATGTGCCCAAGAAATTTCAAATAATTCTTCCTGATGTTAAGTATAAATGCACTTTTTGTTTCCATTTTCTCTAAAACTTTGTAGTTGCTCATGTTTGGTCTGTGGTATTCTCAGTATCCTTCTATAGAACCACATTTCTGCTACTTCAGGTATCTTCTTCCTCTGCGAGGAGATTGTCCAGCATTTACTGCCATATAGAAGGACTGATATTAAACACCAGTTCAGTATGCTTTTCTTTGTTTATAGCAAAATTTTTCTGTTTCTTAATACATTGTTTAATTTTTGGAAAGCATATTTCCTTATCCCAATATGCCTTCAGGTTTCAATGTTGCACATTCTAGCCTCTATAATGATAATCTATGAACTGCAATTCTTTGTGGGAAGTTTTGTGATTTGGTTTGGTTTGGTTTATTTTGTTTTACGGTATATCAACCTCAATGGGTTATTTAATACCGACAAAATTTTTAGGATAGATTTGTATGAATAGAATATGTTTTCTTTGCTTTAGATTGGTTTGGTTTATTTTGTTTTACGGCATATCAACCTCAATAGGTTATTTAATGCCAACAAAAATTTTTATTGCTGGTAATATTTTTTTTTTTTTTGTCAAAAATCGGTTTCTGGTAATATAATTCCTTCAAAATTGTATTGCTGGTAATAATTTTTTCCAAAAATGTATTGCTGGTAATAGTTAACTATTTGCCCATAGCTGGGACCCTAACAGGTGCTACCACCCAGGGTCAGGGTGGACCTGGGAACACCAGCAATTAAGAGGTGGTTTCACACGCCTCAAAACCTCTTGATCAGAGGCCTTGCTGCTGGACGTAGTTTATCGTCTTACCCATGACGCTTTGTGATTTGGGGAAAACTATATTTTTTTGCTATAGACAAAAAAGCATAAAAAATATGCTATCTTTTTCAACAAAGTCAACTGAAAACTAAGATAAACAACTGGTCAAATAATAACATTTTAATTTAGTTTTTAATCAACAGTAGATTATTGAAAAATAAGGTAAAAATGCTAAATCAAATGAGAATATTAAATACAACAAATTAAAAAAAAAAAACAACTGTGTATAATTTTGAAAAGAACTTATTATTCAAAGATATTTTTGGATACCTTTCTCCTTCCAGGTACAATTTGCCAAAGCAGATTCTTCTACATCTCATTTACATCTGGTCTTTCCAGGTAAATTTACAAAACATTCACTGTGTGGTGCTAGACAATTTTTCTCACCAGAATTAACCTTACATATTTATATGTCTACCATTCATACATGCATTGAATATTGCTGCCCTATTTGGTATGGTGCTTCTGCTATATACTTAAAGATTTTTTATAAAATCCAAAGAATCTGCAATGTTACTGATCCTAGCCTGGCATCTCAGCTTCAGTCACTTTCTCACCACTGTAACACAACATCCCTGTGCCTTTTCTATAAATATTTTCAAGGTAATTGTTCTAATGAGCTTTCCTCTTTGCTACCTTGACTTAATGAATTTAAGTGCAGTACTAGATTGGCAGCTAGGTCTCATCATTTTACAACTGAAATGGTTAAATTAATCCTCCTAAGTTCTATGCTAACAGTTTCTTCTCATGCATTTTTTGTCTGTGGTACTCTCTTCCAGCTTCTTGCTTTCCACTCAACTTTGATCTTCAAAAATTTAAATGTAATGTCAATTGTTATCTTTTGTCTTAATGCTTTTATTTATCTCTCATTCTTTTACATTCAGTAACACTTGCACCTTAGTGGCTTTATTGCCTTGCTTAGGGTGAAATGAAAAGAATTTCATATAAAAGTGAGGCTGGTTGTCTCTTGAATAATATAGAAAGGCCAGATTCAAAAGAGAAGTGGGAAAATCTTATTTAGCAGAAAAGAGTGTACATTATCCTTTCTGATTGGAAGTCTAAATAAGACAGAGAATACCAATGGAGAGTGAGAAAACTAAAAGAATCAACATACAACAATTTGTCAGTTAGAAGCCTAAGTCAAACTCGTGTGGATTTCAATGCCATGTGGCTTTTGTTGCTCAATTAGTATGCGATTATTTGCTTAGCTAGGGCTTTAAAAGATCTTCACATCACGAAAAGCTTATTTTACAAATGTTTAAATATACTATGTTCCGTTTTCCTTTTTGCATTGCACTAGAGTAAAAGAGGCAATCTCTTTTCATATGAATAATACATTCCTCCAAAAATCTCTTCAAATAAACAAATCAAAATCTCAGAAGGTTCCAAAATAAGATAAATGTAGTTTATGTAACCTGATAATAATTGGGGCATGATCAATGATTAAAAATGGCACCAAGTAAATAAATCCTTTACATCTTAGAGAAGACAATTTTTCATCAAACCCTATAAACTGGCACTACAAAATCACAAACAATGAGTTTTACTAAATAACAAAAACCACCTATCTTGAACACTTCTAACAGCAATAAGAAAGTCAAATAATGATATAATCAAGGTGTTAACCTTCCACATTATCTTAAACAAAAGATTTGGAAGGAAACTTCCATCAGTACTATAAAGAGTGATAACAGTTAATAGACTTGAGAATTCTGTTCTGAAAAACTGTTTGACAAATGAATGCTGAATGTTTCCTGTACAGAAATGGTCAATACTATTACCATAGCTAATAAAGAATTTGTCAACTTAGACATAAAGGATAAGTATAATATGTCAGTACTTTAAGTGGATATTTGGTTAACATTCTTTGTATTCTTCTGTTACCAAAACTGTTTAAACCATTGCTATGATTATCTGATTTTAGAACCAATCAGAAGTCAAACAATTCATACCATATTTATTTTTAAAATATTCCAAAGAGAGAATGAAAATTAAAAGAGAAAGCCATCATGTCAGCATAGAACATAAATATACAGGATGTTTATGTGTAAAGAAATATAGCAACTATCTTATGTTTCAATGATACAATGGTGGTTATATTGAACATAGACAAAAGTTAACATTCAAACACACAAACATACCACAGAAACTGGCCATTTCTGGCCATTGTATGCAATACAATTACTTGACCAACCCACTTGCCAATATGTATACAAAACCACTCTGCTTGCTATCCACTTAGTTGAATATATCATACATTTATGTGTCCATCTATTTCCTACCTGTCTACACTAACAAACCATCTTTCTGTATATCCATTTGTCTGTCAGTCTATCTATAAAGGTAGATTACATCCAATGTACTGTTTAAATGTGTCTGCCTATACATAGGTAAGTGTGTTTACATGTGCATAAAGAGCAAATGCATTTGGTATATATGTTTATTAGCTTGCATATAATGTATAATATACTATAAGCATTAATGCTATCTTACAAATATTCTTTCATATGTTCTTCAATGTGTGTATGAATATAAAATATAGTCATGTTTACAGTGAATATACCTACATTATATGATACACATGAAAAATTATTATATACGTACATAATCACAAACACCAATGTAACTTATTTCAGTCATTTATAGTTTAGAGGTATATTTGTTTATATATTTAAGTAGATTGTAGATATATATTTTAAGCATTTGTCTTTGAATGTGAACAGTTATGAGTATAGGTAGGTTGATACTTATGTATTTATGTCCAAATGTCAATTTGTTTATCAAGCCACCTATAAAAATATCTTTGAAGACTTCTTTGGTATTAAAATTAAAAAAATAAAAATTAGAGCATTCATCTCTATCTTCTAATTTTAAGTTGTTTATTTTGTTTTTTTTTACGCTGATGTGTAGAGCAATAATTCCATGACAGTCTAATAAACAACTTGCTTTGAATATTGTTACCACATCTCATCTGATGCTCCTGCTATATAGTTAGAGATATTTCACAAAATCCAAACAAGAATCTGCAATGTTATTAGTCCTGATATAGCAACTCACCTTCAGTCACTTTCCCACTACCATAATGTAGATTCTCTGTGATTTTTCTATAAATATTTTCAGGGTAATTGTTCTAATGAGCTTTCCTCTATGGTACCTAGACTTTATGAATTTAAGCACAGTAC